TTCTCCAGCAATTTACAATGCAGGGATTATGGTTGGTGTTTTGAGATGAGGATTCTGGGGCTAAGAGATGCTGATTTCTTTGCTTTGTGCCTACACACGAGAGTTTTGGAGACAAATGCTTTCATTCCTTCTGAAAGTCATAGTTTATGTAACTCACAGAGTTTGCCTGTTGAGTAGGGAACCTGGGGAGTGAGAGAGAGTGAGTTCCAGTGTGGAGTCCAGATGAAGCTTGGAGATATTTACTTCCAGGACATCACAGTAAAGGAAATATTGTGATTTGTTTGTTTGTTTTCCTAGTGCATATGAAAGTTTTATTAACACTGTAGAATTTGTAAAAAGCCAGGCCCACTGCCACTGAGTAGCTTCTGGTTTGTAGTGACCTTATAGGACAGAGCATGAGAGCCTGTAGGGTTTCCAAGGCTGCACCTCTTCATGGAAATAGAGGCCACATCTTTCCCCTGCAGAGCAGCAGGTGGGTTTGAACTGCCAACCTTTTGGTTATCAGTCCACCACTTAGGTGTATTTTTGCATTACCCCGCCAGGGCGGGTCCTCATTCACACGCTGCTGTTGGTGTCGACCGTAGGTTTCACTGCTAAACTAAAAACTCGGCTCCTCCGGTGGTTCAAATCCACCGGTGGCTCCAAGGGAGAGAGATGGGCAGTTGCCTTCTCTGTGATTTTAGTGTCTCAGGAATTCGAGGAAGGAGCAAGTCAGAACAGACCTGGAGGCCGTGAGAGAGAACACGATGGAAAAGTGTGAGATAATGTGAGAATAGAGACCAGGACACAGAGACACAGAGACGGGAAGTGAACACTTGCTGTTTGAAATGCGACACCAGGAGACGTGCTCAAAACGGGGTAGCTCCAAATCCTCAGTTTGTGAAACACAAAGCCCTCTGGCACCTCAAAGTACAGTGTGGGTTGTTCTATGCCCTTGAGTAGGAACTGCCTCATAGCTGACCCTCCAGCAGGTTTACAGAGGCGGTCAATCATGAGAGGTGATTGCCCATCTTTCTCCCATGCAGCGGCTGGTGGATTTGATCCATGGCCCTTTTGGATTTGATCCATGGCCCTTTGGGATGGCAGCACAGCGTCTTACCACTAGGCCACTAGAACAGAGGGCAGTAAAGCGCAGTGAATGGAGGTTTTTCATTGAGATGCCTCCTCTGCTCCTAAAAACTTGAGTGACCTTGTAGAAACCATGAAATGTTTTTAGTCCTTGGTGCCTTATCTGTAGAATGAGATTATTGTGAAAATACAGTGTCTGTGTATCACAGTGACTGTTGGCTGTTACTTTCCCTGGTGGCAGAGCTGGGACAGACAGACACACTTATCTTGCTACAAAGGTTTACCTTCCTTCTACTGTGAGGATGTGGCAGGAAGCCAGGGACATCTGTTTGAACTCCTGCACCCCTCTGATCTTGTAGGGCTCCCTGCCTCTGCACACACACCTGGCCACGTGGAGTGGTGTTTCAGGACTTCACCTGCCAGCATCCAGCTGGCTGACTTCCCCTTCCAGCCAATGACAGAGGCTGAGGCCACTCCCTGGGTGGAGATAAGCTTGAGGCCGTGCTTCCCAGAGAGAAGGAAGGAAGGCCCCATCTCTCCCTCTCCACTTACAGCACTGTCCTCCCATGGGACCGTCAGTCCTTCCACCTGTCCAGCCACAGCTACCCACCCTGTCCTGGAGCCAGGAAGTAGGGAGACCACAACACACTGTAAAGTCTCAGTTGTTTGAGAATTGAAACTACTCTCATCCAACTCGAAGGATCCCTTAATGGGGTGTGTTTCGTGTTGTCTGGGCTGTGAACCAAAAGGTCAGTGGTTTGAATCTACCAGCTACTCCACAGGAGAACGAGACAGTCCCCTCCCTTAAGGATTTACCTTGTGGGGAACTTGATGGAGCCTCACTATTTGTATGTTCTCAAGTCCAGTGAGTTTGAGGTTCTTTGGTTCTCTTTCAGCACAGTTGTCATGTCTATTGGAGAATAAAACTGATAAGTCACTAATAACTTAAAAGTAAATTAACTACATGTAGCCTGGCTGTGTGATTAAGATGATGTACTAGAAAAGTCAATTCATTGAATTCCTAGGAATGCTTTTAAGAGGATCTGTGGAATCATAGCCAAAGAGATGAATCTCTAATGGTGGAATGTCAGATATTGCCTTGCTTCAGTTGTTTGGATATGGGCTATCTTTTTATATTTTCAGAGTTGTGTTGAATGCACACTTTCTAGAGAGCTGCTGGGTTAGCTTGACTTCCTTGGCTGTATCTGATGAAAGCTGGCAGGAATGACCCAAATACAGCACATTTGTGCCCAGTTCTTTGTTTTAGGGCCACAGAAACCCACTTGGGGAGTGTGCTCCAAGGAGGAAAACTTACTGAAAGACTTTGGAGGTGCCTCGTGTTATATAAGGGAGCCCTGTGGCTTAGTGGTAAGGAATTGTGCTGCCAACCCAGAGGCCTGCAGTTCAAATCCACCAGCTGCTCCGTGGAGAAAGATGCTGCCCTGGGACTGGTATACTCTGATTCTTGCTGACCTCCTTGTCCCCTGACCACAGACCACTATAGACCTGGGCCTTTTCTTTCCCTTAAGGTCTTTGAAAAATTACAGCTAATGCTCACAATGTATGTGGCCTTGTTTTTAGGGGCTACCACGTTGACTCCCGCCCCTGGCCAGCGGCCCCCTGACAACCCCCTGACTACAGAAGGAATGCAGTGTCAGCCTCACAACCTGGGCTCGAGCTGCAGCCACTGCGTCAGTCCACCTCGAGGTTCTCCTCCTTCCCTGACCCTCTCCCTTTCCCAGAATGAGGTCCCTTTCCAAGGACTAGTCCCTCCCGGCAACATGCCCAGCGTATGTGAGGTGAAGTCCCAGCGTCCTTGCCACCAAGGAGCACCCAGGCTGCATTTCTTCCAAGACAGATGTGTTTGCTCTCCTGACAGTCTGTGGACGTTCTTGACCCCCAAACCCTAAAGCTAAACCTATTGCCAGTGACTGCAGCCATCGCTGCTGGCTAAGTTGAGTCCCTGTGACCCAGGGGTGGTGTGGAGTTCACGGGTCGGACGGCCCCCTCTCTCTCCCGTGAAGCCGCTTTGGGGTTCTCACCTGTGCCCTTCGTGAGCCGGGAGTGCTTGACCGCTGCACCACCGGGGCTCCTCACAGAGGATGGGGGACGATGTGAAGAGCACCCCCCCCAGGGGTGGCCTTGGAAGACCAGCTGGTGGTCACAGCCTGGAGGCCCTGTGGAGCAGGACGGCCACGGACTGGGCTTGCTTCAGTAGCAACTCACGCCACCGCCGCCATCGATAAACCCTGGGACACATCAGCGCTGGTGGCGCAGTGCCTCGCGTGCTGCTCTGCTAGTGGAAAGGTCAAGTCCACCACCTGCTCTGCGGGGGAAGAACGGGCAGTCTCCTCTGTAAAGATTTACAGCCTTGGCAGCCTAACCTGATGGAGGGGTCTCGAGCTGTAACTGAACCAACAGCGGTGGGATTGGCGGAGGGACTGGAGGGGATGCCAGGAGTCCAGACCAGCTCAGCGGCAGGGAGCTCTCTGGCTTGAGGGGAACGGGGATCTGCTGGAAGCCTGAAACAGTCACTGGTCACTGAGAGGGGTCCTGCGGCCTTCTCGTGCCAGCCTGCTCTGCCAGCACCCTGCCCACACCTTGCTTCTGGTCTTCTCAGGCTGCTGTGGGGGCAGCACAGGTTTGCAGAGCTCTGTGAGGGGTGGGGCGAGGTGGTTAGCAGCAGGGAAGCACCAGGCTGACTCCATGCTGTTCACTTCAAGGCTGGCTGCCTGGGGCATTTTAAGATCCAGAAGGCCTGAGACTCAGTACTCCCTCTGTAACTTCCTCAGCGCCTGACTCAGTTTCCTAGACATGTTAACCAAACTGGCCACAACATATTTCCATGTCCAGTCTTTCAGCTGTTAAATGTGTGAGAAAGCTGGAAAATGGACAAGGAAGAATGAACCAGAAATGATGCCTCTGGACTGTTGTGGTGGTGAAGAATCTGTGGTGAGGGATTGGGAATACACCGTGCAAGTCTGCCTTGGAGAAGAGCAGTCAGTGTTCCTTAGATGTTAGGATGGCAAGACTTCACGTCACGTCACGTCCTTGGGACATGTTATTAGGGGAGACCAGTCTCTGGAGAAGGACACCATGCTTGGTAAGCCAGAGGGGCAGATACACTGACAGAGTGGCCGCCACAGGGGTTCAGCCAGAGCGAGGACCACGAGGCTGGGAGAGGACTGGACTGTGTTCTTCTGTTGAACGTAAGGTCATGGTGACATGGAACCGAGCTGGTGACACTGACAGGAGTGGCCATGACATACTTAATCCTGCCAAGAGTTATTTGGAGGCTACCGAAATACCGAAAGGACAGATGTCTTCTCACTAAGATAATTCCGTTTTGTGTTATAAAAATACAGGGACATACATGCTAGAATTTATTACACAGTTAGGGTACAATTTTTTTTTTTTTTTTTTTTTTACATAGGGTACAATCTAACGGTACAGTCAAAAGGGAGCACACGAGGCAGGCAGGGGAGTTGAAACGTAAAAACAGTGAAGGGTGTTCAGAAGATCAGGAGGCGGGCAGCTGGAGCAACCGAAAGCAAAATGGTCAAGCCAGCATCAGGGGGTAGTCGTGGCCGCAGGCGGGGCTACTCACAGGGATTCTGGATGACGATCAGGAGGTATTCCTTATCTAAGGGAGAGATACAGGCACAGTTAACTCATCCTAAATGTTAAAACGGAATCGATGCTGGTTTCAGAGCACGCAGTGGGCCTTGTGTAGACCAGTGATTTTCAGACCTGCCTGCACCAGGTGCGGAACAAGCTGTCTTTTGTTGATGAGCACTTCTGGGGTAAGACAGGCTCTAGAGGAGTCAGGTGTGGGCCCGACTGAGGGGTGCTGGGGACTGTTTGGCACTGATGCTACGTAAACCCTTGCGTGCATTCTGTTCAGGTTCAGGAGCGGCTCTCTGAGTGCTGCCCTCTGGTAGACCAGGCAGGTGTGGGTTTAAGATCCTGCAGGCCTTCCATGCACATCTCTCTCCTTTCCACAGGCTTTGTCTCTCCAACAGGACCCCTTCCTCCCCCTCTCCAGAGGGAGTGTGTGCTCAGTGACTAGCAACCATGCCCCAACCCCCCGGATTTTCTGATTACTGGTAGTAAGTGCAGATGGGCAAAGCCCAGCTTGTTCAAAGCTCAAGTTCATGGCTGATTTCATGAGCTCTTTGTGTGGGAATTCTCCCATTTGAACATCTTCATTTTTCAAGTGGAGGACTACTGTGTTTCCTGGCATCTCTTACCATCTATACACCATCGTCTTTGAATCTACACTCAGATGCAGATGAGCAGAAAGATGCTTTGGAGGTTTGGCACGAAACGCCAGATTACCTGGAGCGACCATGATTTCGTGTTTCTTCGATCTGATCCTCAGGAAGGTCAGGTCGTTCTGAGGGTCAATGTCGCGGACGGTGCTCTTGGCCTTCATGGTCAGCTGGTGCAGCAGGCCTGCGTACTGGACTGTGCTCGAGTTGTCCAGGGTGGTTCGGATTGGGATGCCTGTCGGTAAGAGATAACAGTTTGGGGCCTTGTTTCTTTCTTTCTTTTTTTTGTCCTGATTATAAAGGTAATATGTACACAGTACACATATCAGAAAGTATCATTGCTCTGAAAGGCCTTGGTGGTACAGCGGTCAGAGCTTGGCTGCTAACGGGCAGGTCAGCAGTTCAAGCTGATCAAGGACATCATGGGAGGAAAAGCCTGACAATATGCTTCTGTAAAGACTGCAGCCTAGAAATCTACAGGGCGGCTCTCCTCCCTCCTAAAGGGCTGCTGTCAGTCAGAATTGACTCACAGGTACACACCAGTGTAACAGGATTACAGGGAGGAGTAAAAGAGTGATGGTATCATGTCCTGGGAACAAAATAGTATATTTCATTCCAGTCTTTGTTGATACACAGATTTTTTTTAAAAAATTACTTTCTACTAATTTATGAAATTCAAATACCTTGTTTTCAAGAAGAAATTCCTTCAATTTCTCCCACCCCCTCCATCAAATTGTACAAGCCCATGATTAGTCCCCCGTCCCCCTGCACATCCTCATCCCACTGCTTCCACCCTCTCCCACCCCTCTCGGATCCTATGCTCATTCTACAATAATGATTTTGTGCAATATTTATCCTTGTGGGACTGAGTTTGTTCAGTCAGCATAACGCTCTCCAGTCCCTCCCAAGTTAGGCAATAATTTACTGAATTATTGCTTCTGCGTGCTGTATAGTATTCCATTGATTTTTTTTTAAAGACAGGATCAAAGAAACAATATGTACATATTTGAGTATTTTTCTTCAGTGTGTACAAGCTTCCCTTGTGGATAAATATACTGGCATTATTATTAATATGTACTGCTGCGGAAATCCAGGTAACACAACATTTGCCAATTCGAGATCTTCTCTTGACAATTGAAGGGAATCAGCGTTATCTTTCAGGGCTGCTCATTTCATCTTTTTACAATAAGATTCTTCTCCTGTTGCTGGGCTGTTAGGCCATTGCTTATTACGTGTCTTGGAGTCGGAAATGGCTCATGGACGCTTAGGTGCAGGGTTTTCAGAATCAGTAAATTGCATCGCAGGAGAATGGCCATCTTTTTCCCTCTGAGCAGCTGGTGGATTTGAACTGCCTGCCTGTGGGTTGGCAGTGCAACTCCTTACCACTGAGTTATCAGAGTTGTTGTTGTAGTTGTGTACTGACCCACTCATAGTTGACCCTCCAGTGGATTTTCAGATGCAGTAAATCACACAGAAAGAGACTGTCCATCTTTCTCCCGTGGAGCAGCTGGTGGATTCGAACTGTGTACCTTCAGGATTGCAGGGCAGCTTCTCACCACTAGGCCACCAGAGTTCCCTAAGTTATTAGAAGAGCAGTTTGATTATTTTTTTTTTTAATGAGCTAATGGTATGATCAACATTTTCATGCATGATTCTTTCGGAAGTTGTTAATCAGATATATCATGATTAAATCCCCAAAGAGATTCCCTCTAGCCTCCTGTCTACAGTTTGGCTGCTTGGAAATGGCCAGTCTGTGACTTGGTCCTCGTGCCTTACCCTGAGGCCCGACCTGTAGAGGCATCTCCCTGCACATGCGAGAGGGGACTGGAGGGAGCTCACGATTCCGTCCTCACTTCTCAGACAGTATTATGCACGGCTTACATGTATATTAGAAAATAGGATAAGACAGAGATGTGGCGTGTGGACTGTGTTCACTCTGCGGTTAAACAGTATTAAGTTTGACGACTCTGTGCACTGTTGTTCCATTAGGCGAGGTTAAAGCAGAGCCTATTAATTTAGCCGGACAATTCCAGCCAGACAAATATGTAAGCATAATTCAGTTCCATTCAGATCCCTCTCTCTCCGTGCGGGTCACTCAGCACTTCCCACATCCGCTATGGAGTGGGCCACTGTGCTGGGTCTTTAACTTGTGCTGTGTCTAATCAGAGACAGCCTTCATATTTCTTCTGGGAACTCCCAGACAGCCAGGGAATTCCTGGGAATTTGATTTGCAAATGTGCATTTTAGTAAGACAGATGGAGATGAATTTGAGATTGTTGGTCAAACTCCTTGGGTGTCTTAATTAAGGCAGAGCATTATGAGCTGAATGGAGCCCTCGGTTTTCCCTCAGAGAATGTAACTGAAAACTGAACCCACTGTCAGGGTATCAGTCCTTTCCTGTGGGATGGAACTATCCGGTGGGGCTTCCACGGTTGAAGTCTTACAGAAGCAGATGCCTCATTGCTCCTCTGCAGGGGGGCTGGTGGATTTGAACCACCAATCTTCTGGTAGCAACTGAATGCCTTAACCACAGTATCACTAGGAATTCTGAATGTAACTCCAGAAAGTATTAGACAAGATAAACATCCACGAATAAGACAGTATTACAAAGCTAGGGTTTTACCACTCTTTGAGAAAAACACACCGAAAGCCTTTATTTTTATTTCAACAAATTAATACTTTCATTTTAAGGTAGTTGCCACCTCTCGTAGTTTAAAAAAATAACAAAGTAGTTGATTCCAACTTACGGATCTCAGAAGGTCAATTGTTATGGGAGGAGACTGCCCATCTTTCTCCAAGGAGCAGCTGGTGGATTTGAACCACTGACTTCTTGGTTAAAAGTAGTCCAGCATGTTAAGTGCCACACTGCCAGGACTCTAAATAGTACCAGGGAATTATGTTCAAAGAAGGGAGCCCTGGTGGCCTAGTCCGTAGACAGTCGCACTGCTAATTCAAAGGGTGCACATCTCCAGGGGTTCAAATCCACCAGCCACTCTGAGGGAAAAAAGTGGCCAGTCTCCTCTTGGACAGTGAAATCCAATGGAGGGTCGATGAGTCACCAGTGCAGTCAGTATATTTACAAGGGAAACATCAACGAGACAGGTTTTAAGCAGCAGTTCTTTTGGTGTTATTATTTGTTGGTCACTACCAGTATTGAGAATACCATGGACTGCTAGGAAAACAAACAGATTTGTCCTGGAAAGGGTTAAACCAGGTGGCTCCTTGGAGGCAAGGATTCTGAGGCTCGCCTAAACATACTTTGGACATGTGAGGAGAGACTGGTCCTTAGAGAGGGACATCATGCTTGGGAGGGTGGAGGGACAGCGCAGGAGAGGAAGGCCCTCTATGAGGTGGATTGATTCAGTGACTGGGATAATTGGGATGGGAGTGTCAGAGACGGTACGATTGGCACAGGACAGAGCGGAGTTTAGGGCTGTTGTACATAGGGTCGCTATGAGTCGCAAGAGACTCGACGGCACATAACAACAACAACAATCAGCCAAGATATTGAGCATACCATAGACTGCCAACAGAACAGGCAGGTCTATCCTAGAGAGGAGGAAACCAGGTTGCTCTGTGGAGACAAGGATTTTGAAGCCCCATCTCACATACTTTGGGCATGTTATCTGGAGGGCCCAGTGTTTGAGGAAGGACATCAAGCTTTGAAGGGTGGAGGGTCAGCACAGAAGAGGAAGACCCTAGATGAGATGGATTCACACAGTGACTGTGGCAGTGGGGTTAGGTGTGTCAGAGACAGTGAGGTTGGCTCAGGATACTGCCACGCTCAGAGCTATCGCTTATAGGGTAGTGAACTTGAGAGCCCATAACATCAACAACAACTTGAAAGGCAAGCTGAAATGACAGTGACTGTGGCAGTGGGGTCGAGTGTGTCAGCGATGGTGAAGTTGGTTCAGGATAGGGCAAGACTCAGGTGTTGTTCACAGGGTCGCTAGGGCACATAGCCACGTCAGCCCAGAGGGCAGTAGTTAAATCTTCACACCAGAGGAGCAGCTTGCGAAGGCTGGTATCTTTAACAAGCAGGATATTGAAATGCACAGCACTCAACCTTGAAGTCACTTTAAAAAAAAATCATCAGTCTGCATACAATAATTTGTTTGCACTGAGTTTCATTTACGTACAATGTGTTAGGGTTAGGGTGTTTTCTTTTTTCACTCCCCCCTCCACCCACCAATCTCTGACTTTGTGATTTCCACCTACCCATCCTTAGCTCCCCTGCCCTCCCCCTTCCCTCTTTGGATAGCCATACATCTCTTACTGTCTATCCTTTTGTTTTTACAATAATGGTGTTATGCAGTATTTGTCCTTAAGCACCGGAGTTAGTCCACTCAGCATAACACCCTCTAACTTCTACTTTTTTATTAATGATTTTCATTTGTCTCACGTGGTGACTACTTAATAAACCGACATTGCATAGGACCAAAGCAAGAAGTGCTGGCTGAATAAATGAGATAAAAATGTCGATGGCAAGAGTATGAATGAGATGCTCAGCGCTAGTTGGTGAGTCTCTTAATGAGCCAAGTTAATTAAGAATACAGCTAGTTTTTCTGAATCATGAGCACATACTTTGGAAACACTTGGAGTTTGTCATATCCACCACAGACACTTAAAAAAATTTTTTTACCAATCCACAAAGAGTTATCAAGCTTGTGCCTGGTACCATGTGACCTAATGTAGAAATTTTTTCTTAAGAATTTTAGTATATGGTTTAAAATTCACCCACTTCCTCTTCTCTGAGTCAACCACTGCTCCAGACACATTCTGAGTCTGTGCATGTTGTATTTGTTTGCTTTTCCTCCTTTTGTTTCAATAATATCAGTTGGTACTTTGTAACCTAATTTTTTTTTTCCAGTTTCACGTAATACATTTGGGAAATTTTCCCATTTAGCACCCAGAAAGCTAAGTCCCTCATTTTAATAATTGTATAACCATCTGCTGAACGCATGTGTTGTAATACATTAAACTGATATCTTTGCTCCTTAACGTGTTAAAAAGCAAGGACACTAGTTCAAAGACTAAGGTGCACCTGACCCATCTGAAAGCTGTATAGTGAATAAGGAAGAGGGAAGTACATGACTTTGAATTGTGGGCAAAGAGTATTGAAGAGATTGTCAAAAGAACACAATTGCCTTGGAGAAGTGCAATCAGGGTACTTAGAGGCAAGGAAGGTAAAACTTCATCTTACATACTTTGGGCGTGTTGTCAAGAGGGCCCAGTCCTTGGAAAAAGACATCATTCTGGGAAAGGTGGAGGGTAAGAAAAAGAGAAGACCGTCAACAAGATTGATTGACACAGTGACTGCAGCAAGGGGCTCGGGCAGGTTGGAGGTTGTGAGGTCGGTCCAGGACAGAGCAAGGTTCAGAGCCACTGTGAGAGGGGAGCTCTGAGCCCAAGGTGACTCAGCGGCACTCACCAACAACTCTACTAACCTCTTGTTGGTATTTCAGTTGTTTGCATCTCTGACTGCCATGTATAGGTGTGTCCTTGTGTGTGGTATCTCATGAGTGTGCCTATGGGATGTTCTCCTGAAGTGGGACTGCGAGGGCAGAGAACACATGTGCGTGGCAGAATCCGAGGCACCTTTACAGCAGTGTTTTAAAGCACAGCTCTTTATGATCCCAGTAAATGACTTGCCATGATTTCAGTTTGTCATCTTGAACTGTCCATTTATAGCTGGGTTGATAGATTGCACTTCAAAAATAAAATGAATTGGCTGCATGGCTGATAAAGTCTAATGAAATTCAAGTGATGGATGGTTACAAATGCTGAGAATATTTAAAATTAAGGGCCGAGAGAAATCAGGTTCCTATCTATCTATCTATCTATCTATCTATCTATCTATCTATCATCTCTCTATCATCTATCATCTGTCATCTGTCTATCTCTCTATTATCATCTCTATTTATCATCTCTATCTATCTATCATCTATTATCTATCTATCTATCTATCTACTTTTTCTGTCTGTCTGTCCATCATCTATCTGTCTATCCTCTATCTATCTATCTATCTATCTATCTATCTATCTATCTATCTATCTATCTATCTATCTATCTATCTATCTATCTGTTAGATGCCTCCGAGTTGAATACAGCTCACAGTAACCCTGTGAACAACAGATCTGAACCCTGTCCATATTGAAGATGAGTATTGACTAGACAGCAGTGGATTGCATGGTGTAACTTTGCCTTCAGAAACTGGAGATGATTTAAGGCACTTAAAGAAAAAGATCAAAGACGGTAGCCTTCAATATGGATTAATCATAATATTAAGAAAACAAAAATCCTCATCACTTGGCCAATAGGCAACATCATGATAGAAGATGAGAAGACCGTCAATGATTTCATCTTACTTCTATCCCTAATGAACACCTTTAGTACCAGCAGTCAGGAGACTAGGAGGTATATAGCAGTTGGCAAGTCTACTGACAGGAACTTCTCCAAAGCTATTTCAGAAGTGGATTCCACTCCTGCTTCCAAGCTTGTTTTAATCAGGAAGCTCCACCACACACTGTCTACCACGGGTGAACATTATCACATTTGACACATCAGTGCCACAGTGTTCAGCATCACAGCAACCACGAGTTACCTCTGTGCAGCAAATGGACAGACCAGTGCTGTACCACTTAGAAGAATGTTTGACCGAAACAGTTAAAACCAGTCCTGAGGGCTGCAGATTAAAATAACCACCTTTGGCTTGGTACCGTCACTTTCTATCCACTAGGCCAACAGAGCTCTCTCGTTGTTGTTGTTATTAAGTGCCATAGATGACTCATGGTGACCCTATGAACCAAAGACCCGAACAATCTATATATTTCATAATTGAAAAATGTAGTGGCCCTTCTTGTACTGTAGCCAGTGAGGTTATCCAACGAATGATACTAAAATGAATCCTCACAGATTTTCATGAGCTATTGTTCATAGGGTCGCTATCAACAACACAACAACATGGCAAAGGGGTAATTTCACATAAAATGAAGACTCGATACCTTTTATAATGTTTTAAAAAAATACATGGCCCATAATCAGACTGTCCCTGTCGTCAACACAGTAATTTTATTGGCATATTTTAAATGTTGGTAGACAGTTTACCAAAGTTGTTTTAAAAAACTAGCTAATGAGAAGTGTTCCTTTGAAAGAAATATATTTTTAGACATGTCTTATTCATGTCTGTATCCTTAGCTCTTAGCAAAGTGCTTGGCATATGGTAGCTAATCAACAGACACTTGAATATAATAGCTAAATGGTAAGAGAGAGCTCTGGTGGGCTAGCGGTAAGAACCTGCACTGCAACCTCAATGGCACAGGGTTCAAATTCACCAGCTGCTCCTTGGGAGAAGGATGGGAAGTCTCCTCCCTTGCAATTTACTGCCTCTGAATACCCACTGGAGGGTCAGCTATGAGTTAGTTATGACTCGAAAGCCCAAACCACCACTAACAGTAACAGAGTGTAAGGTGTACAGCATATCCTTTTGCTTTTAAATTCCGAGATGTTTGTCTCAAGGCTCGACATAGCTGGTTCTCGGTGAAGCTCTGCTTGTCACAGGCAGGTGTGATGTACTCACCTTCTGCATTGACAACCATCGTTCCAATCACCCCTTTATGGCTCTGAATCCTCTTTAGGGTTTCTTCTACCTCCGTCTAAAAGGATAAAGAAGGTGACTAAGCAAAAGACTCTTGTAGTGACTCTAAACCCCAAAAGAAGGATTTTTAAAAAGATATGCCCTCCCCTGACTCCCTGGACACCTTTGAACGTTTTGGGAATAAACTTTTGAAGTGATCAGATTCTACATATGAGGCCATCTCAGACCCCCTGCATACAGCCTTGAGGAGCTCTTGGCTTGAACCCTCCTTACAAGGCTTTTTGTTTCCTTCCTGCGTCCCTCCCATTTCAGTTTTCCATGAAGTTCTGCTTCGTACCGAATAGAAGTCTGTTCCACATCTTCATTCTTGTTATTAGATTCTGTCGACATGCATATGATTCATTGTGGCCCTAGAAAGAACAGACTTCAACCCTGTGCCATCCTAAAAATACTGACACACTTGAGCCCACTGCTGCTGTAACTGCATCAATCTACCTGTTTGAGGGTCTTCCTCTCCTTCATGGTCCCTCCACCTTCCCAAGTATCATGTCCCTCTCCAAGGAATAGCCTCTCCTAGAAATGCGCAAGGTATGTGAGATGAAGCTTTATCATCTTTGCCTCCAAGGAGCACTCTGGCTGCACCTTCTCCAAGACAGATCTTTTTGTTCTTTTGACTTTCCATCGGATATTCAGTATCCTTTCCAGCACCACAACTCAGAGGTATCACTTCTGCTGCTGCTATCCTTAGTCACTGTCCAGCTTTGCATAGCAAGTGACTGAAAAGACCATGGCGTGAATCAGGTGCACCTTAGTCTTCAAACTGACATTGTTCCTCAGTAATTTGGAGAGATCCCTGTCTGCAGACTTTCCCTATGCCATATGTCTCCTGGTGATCTGACTGCTGGTACCAAGTGTGTTAACTGTGAATCCAAGGAAGATGAATTAATTGACAGGTTCAATCTTTCCTTAACTATCATGATGTAGCCTGTAAGTCCAGTGGAAAGAGTTTTGTTTTCTTGATGTTGATCTTCTGCAGCAAGTACTTGAAGTCCTCTTCATATTGTATCATCTGCCTAATGAAGGTTATTGAGGAGACTTGCTCCAATCCCAGTGCCACATTCTTCTTTACAGACTCCAGGTCCTCAAACAATTTGCTCATCATACAGATTGTGTAGGTATGGAGAAATGATTCAACCCTGACACACACCTTTCTTAATTTTAAACCATGTATTGTTCCCTTGCCCTGTCTACACAGTAGCCTCTTGTTCCAGGATTGCACATGAGCACCGTTAAGTATCCTGGGATCCCCATTCTTCCCAATGGTAGGCATAATTTGTTATGATCCACCAGGTAAATGCTTTTATATGTCAAGAAAGCACAGACAGACACTCTTCTGGTAGTCTTTCCTTTCAGCCAGGATCCATCTGACATCAGCAGTGATATCCCACGTGCCATGGCTTCTTTTAAATCCAGCTTCAACGTCTCATATAACAAAATTATATTATCAAATCTTTATGAAATAAGGCAAAGGAGCAATTTCATTGGGGGGGGGGAGGAAATGTCTGAGTTGCAGTGCCAAGACATGAAGTGTGAATCCACCAGCCGCTTCCTAGGATAAAGAAGGGCATTCTCGTCCTATGCCATTTATACCTGAGAACCTGCTGGGAGATCAGCTGTGGGTTGATGCCGGTTCAGTGGCACAGCAATAGCAAAGGTCTGTACCCTTCATGATGTTTAGACAAAACCAAACTGTTCCCTTTTGTTCATAGATGGTCTTTGTGGACCCACATGGCAACTTACTTTCTCGGTTACAATTATTTACTATTTAGAAAGTACCAATGTAAGCACTCTCTGTATATCCTTTCACAGGAAATCTTAATAGCAGTCCTAAATGCTACCCAACTGGGAGTCTGGATGATAAATCTGCAGGTAGATATTCTATGGAAACAAATCTGTCGCTTGAGTCTCAGGGCAAGTTCAACCCATGAACTTTTACTAGAAGTCCAGAGCCTGCAGTTTGCCCTTCAAGTGAAAAATGAATGTGACCGGATAGTAGCTGCATTAAGGGCCTGAGAGTGTTAGAAAGTTTGCCCTTGGTATCATCAAAGTCTGGGGGTGGGGTGGGGTGGATGGGAAAGTATCAACTTTCTCATCATTCACCTTACTCTCTTGCTTGGAAAATCCTAGGCCATTTTATGCACCAACTCCGGTCTGCTTCTCATTCTCGCAAACACGAATCTAAGATGTAGTCATTGTACATGGGCTTACCCATTTATTATTCTTTCTGTAATCTTCTATAAGAAAATGTCTACAGTTCCTTTCAACCCCTGACTTCTTTCCCCCCCAGCAAAGCCCTGACTGCTTTTCCCTTTCCTCCCTGCTCTATTTTTCATGACTCCTGTGTTTTCACAATAGTCTTTGTCTCCATTCCCACCCCCTTTCATTTCCCTTTTATTTCTCTTTGTTCTCTCCTTCAAACTTTCCCTACTTTCAAATTTCCCATTTCTCCGCCTTTCCTTCTTACATCCACTTCCCGACCCACCAGCCTTCCTCATTTCCCCGTTATTTCCCTTCATTCTCTCCCACCATCTTCTCCTTCTCTTCTCTTCCTGCCTCTCCCTTTTTCCATCTCTTCCTTCGCTCTCAGATTTCTCTCCACGTTATCTTCCCTTCTCAAATTTTCCTCTTTCTGAAAATCTCTCATCCTTGTCAAGATCTCGCATCCCTCATCTCTCTTGTCTGTCTTTCGTCCTCCTCTTCCCCAGCACCCGCCCCTACACGCTCGCTCGCACAGTCTCCCCTCAGGATCGCCATCCCCTAGGAAGCTTCGCCTAGCTGACCATCTCCCCATCATGTAGACATCTTCCCGATCCACGCCGCCCCGTCTCTTCTCCCGTCCGTCCGCACCCCTAAAGGTCAGATTGCAGGCCGAGACCCCGTATTTACCATGGTGCTGGCGGTGCGACCCCGACGATCAACTCAGCGCCCCTGCTGTCAGTGCGTCAACAAAGCTTCCAGCGGTTGCTAGGAGACGGGAGGAGGCGCCCTGCCGGAAGCGCGGCCTGCGCCTGCGCACTGGCTCCTGGGCCCTGAGCACGCGCGCGGCCGCGGCCGACCTTCCCGGCCGCCGTAGGTGTGCTGGTGGCGCTGGGCGGACAGCGACGAGGCCACGGGCGCCTATCCGAGGGTTTGTGGGTTCGTTTCTGCGCGCTTGGGTGTCAGGCCCACATAGCTCATGCCCTAGACGGTGATGGAGCCTCGCCACGTGCCGTCTCTGGGGCTTGTCATTGCTGTTTAAAAGCGGAAACCCTTCCTGTGAACGAAACCTAGACCCCCAGTTCAGCATCTCGGGAAGCGCCACGATGAAAAGTCCAAGTCCTTCTCCGAGGCGGGAACCACGTGCCCTTTATACTCACGTTTGCACCGAGTTTATGCTCCGCGCGGAGTTGGGGAATTGTAGGGCTCAGAGGGGGTGTATGTGATTGGGTGCATTTCTCATTTGCTGAGAGTTGCTGTTGGCTGGGCATTCCTGCAGAGCTGGTTCCTTGCAGCAGGCAAGACGCCTGAGAAAGTTCCAGAAGGAGTTACCTGGTCTCAGGAGTGGTCGGTGGGTCATCCACTGTCTTGTCCAGCGTGTCAGTGTAAGAGTCCTCTTTGACAGTCCCTGGGTGATGCATGTGGTTCAGCTCCTGACTCTTGGGCAGGGCTCCTGTGCCTTTGATCTTTGAGAATAGACCTGGCCCTTTGACATAGGTCTTGGAGAATAGCCTTCCTTGGCTCCTTGGCTCTTTTCTGGCTTTTTAGCGCATCTTAATAGCACTTGCCTGCGAAGTGCTAGTAGAGGAGTGAGGATGTGCAGGGGAAGGGGGGGATTGATCAGTTTGTACAATTTGGTGGGGCTACGGTGAGGAAAACGGAAAGAATTTGATCTTAAAATCAACGTATTCAAGGGAGCCCTGGTAGCCTAGTGGCAAGAAGTTTCACTGCAATCCCAGAGGTACGAGGCTTGAATCCACCAGATGCTCTGCTAGAGAAGGAGGGGCAATCTCTTCTTGTACCTGTCAGATCCGATTTGACGGTACACACACAAAATAATAAAATGTTAAAAAAATAAATGTATTAGAAACTTGTAAATAAACTAGTAGAAAATTAAGGGAGAAAAAAACATGTTGCAGCATCATATATGATGCTGAGACCCAAACGAAACTCATTACTGTGGAGTTGGAACCAGTTTATTACTGACACTCCAGCAGGTTTTGCTCCAGAGGAGATGGCCAGTGTATCTCCTTGGAGCTGCTGGTGGATTCGAATGTACAGAGAGGAACCACTTTGACAGCTGCCCACCCACTCTCCCCTAGAGCTCGGTGCTGTAGGGCTTAAACTGAAAAGGAAAGGGTCAGTTGCCATGAAGTCACAGTTCGGATTCAGAGCAATCGCGTTTGAGATCCGTGCAGCAGAACTCCCCGTGAACCTGGGTTCTTTGGGAGGTGAGCCTCTCCATGAAGTGTGATCTTTGGGAAGAATCCCTCTCTTTGAGGTGTGATTTTTGGGGAATATGCCTCTCCATGAGGTGTGATCTTTGGGAAACAGTTTGCCATCCCCTCCTTCTGAAGCACTTCTGGATGACTTACAACTCCCAGCAGTTTGTAGTGGATCACTTAACTGTTGTATAAATGCAATCAGATGCACTGTCTAGTTGATTCCAAGTCCTGATGACCTTCCATTGGGTTTCTGAGGCTGGCAGTCTTAACAGGAAGAAACAGCCTCGTTTTTCTCCCGTGGAGCTGCTCATGGGTTTAAGTTGCTAAACTTTTGGTCAGCAGCCCACTACTTAACCTCCTACACCAACTGTTAGATAAAACCAAGCCCACTGCCGTGGAGTCACTTCTGTCTCATAGTGACCCTGCATTAGGTTTCCAACGCTGTGAAGCTTATAGGAGGAGACGGCTTATGTTTTCCCTGCGTAAAGCAGATGGTGGATTTGAACCACTGACCTTTTTGTTAGCAGCATGATACATGATAGAGCAAACCACCAGAGCTCCTTAATGGTTATATACTATACATAAGTTTCCTTTTCCCACTTGGTAAAGAGTTGTTCTGCCAACCCAAAGGCAGGCTGTTCAAATCCACCATCTGTTCCATGGAGGAGAGATGGGCAGTCTCCTGTTTGATGTAAAAATCTCTGAAAACCTGCTAGAGAGAGTTAGCTGTTAGTTAATTCCAACTTAAGGGTACATAACAACAAACTGTCTACACTGCCTTACATCGAAAACTCACCATCTTCTTACTAGTCTTGACTAGATTGAGTTGGAGGAGATCTGGCGACCTAGGCAGTTCTGGAGAGAGTCATGCTGGTGGCCTAAAGGCCTCACCTGTCTGGATATTATTGCAGTCCACCAGGAACTCTGAGGAACACGGGTGGACAGTCTCCTCCTGTGCAGTTTACAGCCTCAGAAGCCCAGTGGAGGTTCAGCGGTGGGTGTATTCCTGTGAGATGGCTGTGAGTGAAGATTTTTGGATTTGTATTTGCCAGTGCTTTTGTTTAGCTCACTTGGGTCTTTATTTGTCAACAGCTATGAAGTGCTGAACACCTTAGCAGATGACCCTTCTGGAGGTTCAGTTGCCAGAGAAGAGCATTCTGCTGAGCGTTGAAAGAGCTGATGGAGGAAACAAGTTCAAGATGATAAGGAATGGTCAGAAGTGATTTGACCTTTAGGAGGCCGTTGACAGTGCCCTAGTGGCCTCCGAGGGAGAGGTGGAAGATTGTATACCGTTCAGCAGGGAAGTGTTAGGTTGGGGGTGTGCCTTGACTTGGATTTTGAAGAGGACACACATTGGTTGTTAAACATATGTTGTAAATTGAGATTGCATATCTGTAGGGACCGTGGTCTAATGGCCTCAGTAAAACCGATTCAGTTTGTGCTTTCATTTCCAGAAAGAAGTCTTACAGGAAACAAGGCTTTTTT